TATCATCAAGCTCCTTTATCGTATATTAATATGAATTTAAAGTTGGATTTCATCAAAAGATGGGATCACATATGGGTGACCTCAGCTAAGTCACCAAGCTTACACAGATTTATACCACACATTTCAATTCACAATTACAGACACATTCACAGTAATGACTACAAACTTACGCAAGTACTTACGGAACATGGGAATACAAAACAATATCTTAAAAGATTCAACATTATACAAACAGACTTATGTGATGAAGACGGACAGGTTCAAAATTTTAAACATATAATATATGAATGTAAACGATTTGACAGACAGCGATTTGAGTTAATAAAAAGCATAATTATCAAAAGAGGAAATTGGCCTGAGACGGAACAAAAGTTATTTACTGAATTCAAGACAGACTTTCTTAGATTTATTAGATCGATCGACTTCGACTTACTAACCAGGGATGGGCAGCGTGGGTGATTTCTTTTTGGCTTTGTTGGATTGACTTTGTGTGTTTAATATTTAATTTTCCGATTTAATTTTTGTGTGTTTATTCTTTGTGTTTTTTTTTGTTAATGTATATAAATTTGAACTAAAAATGTAAATCATGTGAAACTAGAAAAAAAAAACAATTGTAAACAAATGTAATTCATGTAGTATGTCTTTAAGGCATGGAGCATGAAGGAAAATCAAATAAACGATCCTTGTGTGGGGTTACCACGTAAGGAAAAAAAAAAAAAAAAAAAAAAAAAAAATATATATATAAATATATAAATATATATATATATATATATATATATATATATATATATATATTTATATATTTAAATATATATATATATAAATATATATATATATAAATATATAAATATATATATATATATATATATATATATATATATATATATATATTTAAATATATAAATATATATATATATATATATATTTAAATATATAAATATATATATATATATATATATATATATATATATATATATATATATATATTTATATATTTATATATATATTTTTTTTTTTTTTTTTTTTTTTTTTTTTCCTTACGTGGTAACCCCACACAAGGATCGTTTATTTGATTTTCCTTCATGCTCCATGCCTTAAAGACATACTACATGAATTACATTTGTTTACAATTGTTTTTTTTTTCTAGTTTCACATGATTTACATTTTTAGTTCAAATTTATATACATTAACAAAAAAAAAACACAAAGAATAAACACACAAAAATTAAATCGGAAAATTAAATATTAAACACACAAAGTCAATCCAACAAAGCCAAAAAGAAATCACCCACGCTGCCCATCCCTGGTTAGTGAGTCGAAGTCGATCGATCTAATAAATCTAAGAAAGTCTGTCTTGAATTCAGTAAATAACTTTTGTTCCGTCTCAGGCCAATTTCCTCTTTTGATAATTATACTTTTTATTAACTCAAATCGCTGTCTGTCAAATATATATATATATATATATATATAATATAATATAATTATATAATATATAATATATAATATAATTATATAATATATAATATTATTATATATATAATATATATATATATATATATATATATATTAATTAAGGTAGCCTCGCGCGGGCTCATTACCGCGTATGGGGAGCGTCCCACGGGTGGCGGATGTGGGGATGGTCGGTGGAAATTCCTTGGAAGTTCCTCCCGGCTAAGTCCGATGGACTCGCTGACCAACAATGAGAGGGGCCCTCCAGACTTGCTGGAGGGAGGGGACCTCCAGACTTGCTGGAGGTAGGGGCCCACCAGACTTGCTGGAGGGTGTGACGTAGGATTGAACGCCCTACTCACATATCTTTAGTTCACCAAACACCACAAAAAGTCATGGATCTCCCTAAGGTAAAACGCTCATTATCCGGAGGTAAACTAGTCCCCCGTTCGGGTCTCCGGGTGGGGACTGCTTTAGGGGATTCATGGCGCAAGTTGAAATATAGGGATTTAAATATTGGTACGTGGAACGTAAGGAGTTTAAACACAGCAGGGGGGCTAAAATCGGTCGCGAATGAGGTAAATGGGTACAATTTGGATGTCGTGGCTCTGCAAGAGGTTCGCTGGCCAGGGGAGGGCTCGATGAGGGAAGGGAAGTACACTATTTGGTACGGAGGAAGCGAGAATCATTGTTTAGGTACCGGGTTTCTAATTAGGCGTAGATTACTATCCGCTTTGAGGGACGTACAATTCTTTAGTGATAGAATTTCGGTAGCTACATTTCAGGGACGTTGGTTTAAAATCGCATTAATAAACATACATTGTCCGACCGAAGACAGTGACGATGAAGTCAAAAGTGAATTTTACGATAAACTCGAATGGGTTTATGATAAACTACCGCGAAACTACATGAAAATAATTGTAGGTGACGCGAACGCAAAGGTAGGAAGGGAAGAAGTTTATATTCCGACGATTGGTAAAGAAAGTTTGCACGAATATAGTAATGATAATGGGATCCGTCTGATAAACTTTGCCATCTCGAAAAACCTGATAATTAAAAGTACGACGTTTAAACATAAGGATATTCATAAATATACTTGGACATCACCGGATTCGCAAACACGAAATCAAATCGATCATGTCTTGATACAACACAGCTGGCAAAGCAGTATAATTAATGTACGGTCTTATCGCGGAGCGGAATGTGGGTCGGATCATGAATTAGTAATCGCGAAACTTCGAAAAAAACTTAATATAAAAAAGAGAAAAGAAAACCGTTTCGATTTTGAGAATTTTAATTTGGAAAAATTAAAAAATCCATCAATTAGAAAACAATTCGAGCTAGATGTTAAGAATAGGTTTGAAGCTTTAGAGCTTCCTGACGAGGACCACGAGGATATTGACAAGTTATGGATAGAGATCCGAGATAATATTAAAACGGTCGGTAACTCGTGTCTAGGAAAAAAGGAAAATAAGAATAACAAACCGTGGTTTGATGAAGATTGCTTAAACATGTGTGAAAAAAGAAAATCCGCTAAATTAAAAGCTCTAAATAATCCTAGCGAAGACAATCTGGAATACTTCCGAATCTCAAAGAACGAAACGACAAAATTGCTCAAAAATAAAAAAAGGGAGTATCTTAAAAATAAAATAATTGAAATAGAAACTAATAGAATCGAAAATAACGTAAGAGACATGTACAAAGGTATAAACAGATCACGTAAATATGTAGGGCCCGTAACGTCTGGAATTAGGGATGATAATAACAATATTCTGACCGATCCGGTTGACATATTGAATAAGTTTAAGGACCACTTTGACAATATTTTAAATACGGGAAATTATGATATGTGTCCTCCTTCTGAGTACCAGAGTGCTTAACCATTAATAGAAGGACCAAGTAAAGAGGAAGTTGAAGTAGCCATCGGAAAATTAAAATCATATAAAGCAGCGGGAATCGATAATATTCCTACTGAACTAATTAAGGCATGCGGAGAAGCTGGAGTTTCTAAAATACATCGGTTGGTTAAAAAGATCTGGGTGAACGAGAAATTACCTGAAGAATGGAAAGAATCTATTCTTATTCCGATTCACAAAAAGGGTCCGAGGACGGATTGTAATAACTATCGAGGAATTTCACTCCTTCCGGTATGTTATAAAATATTCACTTCAATCTTAACCAGTCGAATCACGGAATACGCCGAGGAAATTATCGGAGACTACCAATGCGGATTTAGACGGAATCGTTCGACTATTGATCAAATATTTTCTTTACGGCAAATATTAGAGAAAAAATTGGAGTATAACGGTATTGTTCACCAGCTGTATATAGATTTTAAAAAGGCTTACGATTCTATTGACCGCCAGAAACTGTATAATATTCTAATCGAGCAGGGAATTCCAAAAAAACTAGTAAATCTAGTCAGGATGTGCTTGACGGAGACACTCAATAAAGTTAGAATCGGTAATAATTTGTCCGAAAAATTTGAGGTTCGTTCGGGCTTAAAACAGGGGGATTCTCTTTCGCCTGTCCTGTTCAATTTGGCATTAGAACATGCCATTAGGGAGGTAATGCGAACCGAGAAAGGGTTGGATCTGGGCGGGACAACATCCGTGCTGGGCTATGCTGATGATCTGGTACTGTTAAGCGAAGACGTTGAAACTATAAAACTAAATACGACAACGTTAATGAAAGCCGGTAAAGAACTAGGACTCGAAATAAACGTGGATAAAACAAAATATATGGTTAGCTGCAAAAATGGCGATACTACTGGTGATATCGATATAGATGGTAATATGTTTGAACAGGTAGATAAATTTAGGTATCTAGGTTCTACGATAACTAGAAAAAACGAAATTGAAGAAGAGATTAAGGTTAGACTGAAGGCGGGGAATGCTTGTTATTTTTCTGTGACAAAACTACTTAGTTCGCGCCTCTTGTCCCGAAACTTAAAAATTAGAATCTATAAAACAATTATCTTGCCTACAGTTCTTTATGGATGCGAAACTTGGCCGCTTACATTAAGGGATGAGCAGCGTCTTAAGGTTTTTGAAAATAAAGTATTGCGTAGAATATTCGGACCGAAAAAGGATGAGTTAACCGGAGAGTTCAGACGGTTACACAACGCCGAATTGCGTGAGATGTATCCGGGTAATATAATTGAGGTAATTTCATCGCGGCGAATCAAATGGGCTTGTAAAGTTGTTGGCCTTAGTAACGAGAGAATTCCTAAAAGGTTAATATTTGCTGTGCCGAATGGTAAGCGTCCGAGGGGTAGACCGAAGCGAAGATGGGAAGATTGCATTAAAGCCGATCTGAAGGGACTGGGTTTGGACGGCGAACGGTGGAGGAAGGTGTGTAACAAGCGATTGGTGGTGTCGGCATCGAACCTTCGGGTTCGCTAAGCCTTATTATTATTATTATTATTATTAATTAAGGTAGAGGACATACAGCATCCCTGAAGGAGACCTTCACTGTTTCTAAACTCTTCTGATATGAAGGAGCCTATTTTTACTTTGCACTTATTCTCTCTACATATTTCCTTTACCACTGCTACTAAATCATCGCCAATGCCAGCTCTTTCAAGATCTTTCCAAAGTAATTTCCGTGGGACGCTATCGTACGCTTTTTCGAAATGAATAAAGATCAAAATCTTTTCTAAAATCAGCCCAAAACCTTTATATATATAAATATATTTATATAAATATATATATATATATATATATATATATATATATATATATATATATAAATATATATATATATATATATATATATATATATATTTAAATATATAAATATATATATATATATATATATATATATATATATATATATATATATAAAATATAATATAATTATATAATATATAATATATAATATAATTATATAATATATAATATTATTATATATATATAATATATATATATATATATATATATATATATATATATATATATATATATATATATATATATATATATATATATATTAATTAAGGTAGGGGACATGCAGTATCCCTGAAGGAGACCTTTACTATTTCTAAACTCTTCTGATATGAAGGAGCCTATTTTTACTTTGCACTTATTCTCTCTACATATTTCCTTTACCACTGCTACTAAATCATCACCAATGTCAGCTCTTTTAAGATCTTTCCAAAGTAATTTCCGTGGGACGCTATCGTACGCTTTTTCGAGATGAATAAAGATCAAAATCTTTTCTAAAATCTGTCTGAGAGTAAATAAATGACCAATGCAGGACCTCCGTACATTGAAGCCATACTGTTATTCAGACTGAGCCATATCATTCTCTAGCATGTTTGTTCTGCCCAGCAGCTTCATTATAGGATTTGTCACATATATATATATATATATATATATATATATATTATATATATATATATATATATATATATATATATAACTAAAATGATGTTTAAGTGATTCTCGAAAAAAAAAAATATTAATTACACGAACATGAATACTTTAGAGATTTTTTCATATGACATGGTTATATTTAGTAGCTGTATATGTATTATATTTTAAAGTATAGAACATATTGTGATTGTTTAAGTATTTAACTTAGATTACTCACTAACAAATATGGATCAGTGAAAAAATAAGGATCATTTTTCTATTTTGGGTGGGGCTTCAGCTCGAAAGCCCTCCTACCCCCTCTTGTAAATCTGCCAATGACTAGCAATCATTTAAATTATTGTACCAGAAAAACTTTTAAATACTATGCAACATGTACTTGGTCAAGAGGCCATGGTGGTGGAGTATGTTTTATGCATTGCCTGTTTTTAAATTCTCGAGCCTAGTAGAGTCGGTTAGAATCTGGGCTGGGCAGGATGAAGTTTATTTCATGGCAGACCTATGAAATAAATTGACCTTTTCACTCCAATTAGAATAGATTTGGTTGTAGCTCTAGAACACCCCTCACTCTATATGCCAGAAATGGGGCAGTAGAGGTTAACCCAGAAAAAAAAGTTGCACTAGGTCAATAATGAATTAAATTTGTTAGACAAATGTTTGTTTATAGTCTATAGTTTTTTCTTATTGTGCTCTCTAACTCGGAAAAATAATTTGCATATTCATGAAATGATGGGGTGAAATTTTCCCATCAATGGAAACAACGGAATTTGTCAATACGAAATCTGATAGAATAAAAATAAGGAGGGAATATGAATGTTTGTTTATTAAATGAGAATATTCATACATAAGATTATATGAATATAACACTATTCTTATTCCCATTTGTAAATACAATCATATTCACATTTACAAATGTGAATGCAAATGTACTCATAATGATAGGTTGTAGAGAAACCTTTTCTGTTTTTTTGTTTGTTCATTTTCTGCAGTATAGAATTTAAAAAGTTTATTTTTCATGTGTCCTAATTAAGGTTTAAGGTATTTTTTAGGTCATTGGGTTGTTTAAAAAAACACGCAAGAGCAAACATACAACTTAAATAGATGATTTAAGCCACCTCAACAAGCTAAGTTTTCCAACAATGTTGTTATATATTTATTTCATACAATATTTTTTTTTACAAAAATAAATCAAATAAGTTTGTAAATAAAAAAAAAAGTTAATAACAAAGTTAACCATTTGAATCTATATTTTCAATTCATTTCATGAATTCTTCTGGTATTAATGATTGTAGGATATTTTACATTTTTATAAGATCTTTTACATCTTTATAAGACAAGTATTGAAGTTCAATGGAGTACCTGCCAAAGAAACAGCATATATCAAATAATATTCATAATGAAAACATTTCACACACAAACATAAATATAAATAGCCTTTATTATTCTACTTAGAACAAAAAAGAAAAACAAGACAATGAATGTTACATTGTATTGTTATTATAGAGCTTGCCTTTATATTTAGGGTGCTATAAATCTTTGCACATGAAAGCCATAAAAAGATTATTGCTGCAAAATGGGAACATTGGCCATCTGAAAATAGTGAGAACCTTATTCATACTGTACTTAAAAGTAGTGTTAAAGCTGCCATAATCGGTATTTGAGAATAAAGCGCCAAAGGAAAGTAAACAAAAAATCTGTTAAAAACCTCCTCACTACACCTGTTTCCCACCCTCTTCTGGATATCCATTAGGCTTTAATTATTTATGGAGAGTGAGGTGATGTGCGTCACCTCATTATGTCAGGCTACCCTCTGGCCCACCTTTCCTTTTCCTCACTCCTCATTCTCTTGATGTCCTTTATTGGCTCGCCATTCAGCACTTCTGGGATAGCAGAGTCAGTCCAATGATTTTATTGTCAGTTGTACATAGTAATATGATACTATTCATATATGTGTGTATAATTTTTTTTTTTATTATTAAAATACTTTATTCAGAAATATTACAATTTGTCACAGTTAAGGACACTTATAATAGAGTTCAGAGATTGCATTCATACCGTATATACAAAAATATAAATAAATAAAGTAATAACAAAAGAATAAGAAGAAAGAACAAAAGAGTAAAGAAAAAAAAAAATATATATATATGTGTGCATAATAATGATTGTAATCAGACTTTATGTCAAGCTGTTTCTTATTAACCAAGGAAAGGAAGCCCCTCGTCAAGAAGACAAAGTTATCTTATTTTGCTTACAATGATAGGGCAAAAGTATAAATTTTTTTAATTTATTTAAACCAACTTTAGGTTTTAAAATAATATAGATTATTGTTTGAATCGTTTGCAAAAAAAATTGTGTCTTTACTAAATACTCAATTTAAAAAAATGTGCTTTTAGTAGAAGAAATAACCAGTTATAAATACAAAAATAAAAATAAATAAATAAACTACAAATCTTTTTGACTGAAATATATATATATATATATATATATATATATATATATATATATATATATATATATATATATATATAATTGCTTTAATCGGTCCACCACCATTTTCTATTTTAACTTGTCCTTCACACCATCATTAAATATTATTTCATAAATTTCCTTCTGATTATTTTCTACAGTCAATTCCTTCTGGCTTATAGCTGAAAATGTTTAGAGCACAAGGTAATACAGAATCATTGAAAGTAAAAAAAAAAAAAATAGGGAACAAGTATTCAAGATTTACAACATTCCAGACGATCAAAAATTTTGCTAGACTATGTAGTGCTAGATGTGTCTAAGGGATAAAAAAATAATGGACTTCCTGTGGTTATTCGGAACAAAAACAACAAAATAATGGACTTCCTTGTGGTTATTATTATCCTCTCTCTCTGGGATCTGATGAAGTAGTAAATGGAGAGGCAGGGGTAGACTTCCCTAGTAGAAAACTGGCTAGGTGCTGAGTGTTCTCAGTATTTCACGGCAATATGTTGTATGCTACATTTTCAAGGTTAAATAAGTATTCAGAAAATTTAAGGATCAAGTGGATAAAGGCAATAAGTAATTTTTTGAGTTATGAGAAAATTGAATTCAAATTACCTTTATACACTAAGGCAAAATTGCAGTCCCATCTTTATCAACTCAGTGAAAGGAAAAAGGTAATATTAAAAATACATCACTTTACACCTTTATCCTTACCAATAATTTGATTTTTCCAAAAAAATATTAATGGACTTAATTAGCACCTTTATCTTCAAAGTAAAAAATTGTTTTTTGTACTTTATTATGATATTATGTTGTGAAACAAAAACTAAAATGGTATCAAATGTATATCTTTAAAATCTTACCAGGTGATAGAACTAAATTATCACTTATTGATCCCTGCCCATTCATAATATCAGGAACATTTATTGAATCAGGCTCCTCTTCCAATGATGTATCATTTATTTCCATAATTTTTTTTATCACTGATGCATTTTCTGAATTTGAAATGGATTCTAAAGTAAGTACCTGAAATTTTGTTTTTCAATTTTCAGACATAAATAATTATTTCTTTTATTGTTTTTTATGTAGAACAAAAGTATTTAAGAATTATATGATTAAAAAGCCCATAGAACAGATATTATTAAAACATATTTAGGTCAAAATTTAATTGAAATATGTTGAGACTGATGTGTGTTTATAAAGAATATACATCTTGATTTCAAGGTATTTTAATCGATAAATAATATAAGATATAAAACTTGTCAAACTTGAGATCAACGAATACAGACTTTTTATTTTAAATAGGGCCATAATTTCTTATTGTATAAAAAAAAAATGAATGTGTGACAATTTTTATTATTAAACTGTACTTGAAAATCGACTAAGTGGGTTGGAACATTTTCTATTAAAATAATTACGTAATATGAAGTCTGAAGGGTGTGATATTTATTCCTGGTATCTCATATATCGATACACTTTAACACCCTTTAAAAAAACAAACATGTATTTTAGAAATCCAATAATCAATATTTTAGCCAGTGGTGGTTATTCCATTTATGAAAAAGAGCATATGATCCCCCTAGCTTTACAAAAGAAAAATTACTTATTACATATATTACTTTACCTAGTCCTGTCATAAATATTGTTACAATGAAATATATACAGATTTCAACAGAAATTTTTCAAAAACTTTATTAAAAAATAAAATGTATATCTATAGAGAGTAAAACAAAAACGAAATTACTCCAAATGTCTCCCTTTTGCCTTGACACAGACATTTAATCTCCATGGCCAGTCATCAATAGCAGTACGTCACTTCTTGAGGAAAGCACTCAACTGCTCGGACCAGAGATTGTTTTGAGGCTTTCCAAGTTAGGTTGTTCTCTGTGGCATGCCATCCTCTCTAGTTCGGACCATAACCGATAATCTAATGGTTTGAGATCAGGGCCTTCTGAGGGCCAATCCAAAGCAGAGATGAACTCTGGAATGTTTTTTTGCAGGCACTGCTGAGTTGACCTGGCCTTATGAGCTGGAGCGGAATCCTCCTGGAAAACTCAACGACTTCCAGCACACAGAATATCATTAAGAAGCTTGACAATAGGTTCCAAAATATCGACCTGATAGTTTTTAGCGGCTGTTTTAACTCCTTTTTCACAAAAATGGAGCTTTGTGGTGCCATCAAAGCAAACTCTCCTTCAAACCATCACTGAGGAAGGGTGATGACCTTTTTCCACTGTTCCAATGACTTTTTGGGCTTCTTTAGTGCTGTGTGTGTACACACGATCATTTTGGCGATTACATTTTTTTTAAATTGTAAACATTTTCTCATCGCTAAACAAAATCTTTCGATGAAGACCATTGGTGTAGTGGCCAAGGTTCTAATTTTTTTTAGGGAAGTCTTTAGCCTTTGTCCTGTCATTCTTCGAAATGTACCCATCCTAAGGTCACTTTTTACTATGTGGAAATTGATCTGACAGAGATTCCCATTTTCCGAGACATGATTTGTTGTTTTCAAATGGGATTTTTTCTGATTCGAGCAGCAACTGCTCTCACTGCATTTGCTGTTCTCACAGTGCGGGGACAGCCCGGTCAAGGTCTGTCAAATACAGATAAAGTCTCATTATATCTTTTTATAGTGCGGTACACGAACATACGGCTGATATCCAAAGGTTTCAAAGTGTTGAAAATCTCTGACCTACATTTTCCAACTTTGTATAAGGCGATCACAGCTATTTGGTTTTCTTTATCATCCCAACCCATGTTAACTGAGCGAAAGAAAAATACAAACTAATTTTGATTATTATCCTGACATGTAAAGAAAATAACCTGATGGAGGTGAGGATTATCTAAATAATACCCAGGGATGTAAACAAAGTCCAACTCTTGAAATTTATAGAATTTTTGTTAGGATTTTGATAACTTGAAAATGAGCAAAGTAGCTTGAAACGATGTTATAATAAATAATAAAATTATAAGAGCTTGTGGATTCTTGGAGATACCATATATAAGTATATTAAATGCCTTTAAAAAACATACTAATGAAAGTAACTAAATATAAAAAAATAACTAAATTTCTGAGTCATGTATATGGTAATTATTTTCACTGTATCAATAAACTTGTTTCTAAGATATAAATTACTTATTTTCCCAAATAAAAATGGCACTGTTTACAATTAGTACTTTTAATGCCTTCTACTGTTTTTGGATACTTTCTATTTTAAACTGACTTAACCAAAAGAGTAAAATTACCAAAAATGGAAGTGTCTACTTGCTAGTGGTATTTTTAAGTTGAATGAATGACTTGAATTAATTAAATGAAATATTAAGATTATTTTTGTGAATCTCTGTTGCTACTTTCCATGAACTACCAATGATTTTAGCCACCACTGTCTGAAAACTGAAAGTTGTGAATATAGTTTTTCTCTATTGTTTGTTTATGCTTTATTTTTTATGCCTTTGTTACTAGTTATTCAAATTTATTGCTATATTTATTTTTCCCTTTATCCCGCTCTGTTCTTCATCACCCTTCCTACTTCTTCCTTAATTCATAATACCCATCTAAGAAAAGTTGACTGGTTAAATAAAATATCACTCTTTATTCTATTCTAGTAATATAATATTAATAAATATACCTTATTCACTTTCATGGGATCAATTAGTATCTGATAGGTGTTTCCCTTTATTAAGGATGTAAAGTCATGAAAATTACTTTTGAACTTCAAATTCTGAGCCATTTCTCTAGTCTTATTTATCAAAATCTTAATGCTGGTGCTAACTGGATTGTGAATGCGAAACTGAAAAAAATCAATTGGAAAATAATAAGTCCGAATGATGCATTTATTTGCATATTTATTCAGACTTACATACACAACTCCTGGAATTCTTACCTCAAACTCTTTCTTTGACTTGCAAGAGAGAAATAGGTTTTTGTTTACAACATAAAATGCGGCTACAGCCAATGTTAAAAAATCAGTCTTGCTTGTGAGTACATTATCCCATAAAACTAACCAATCGTTTTCAACCAAGACCTAAAAGAACACACTATTAATAAATCAAATTTGATAAATTATATGATTAAACTTGTTTATGAAATTGCTTCATTAATAAATTAAATTATAAATAATGAATAAGTTTTATGACTATGAAACTGTAACAGAGCACCAATTTCTTATATGGTTCCATATGTGGTATTGATATAGAAATATTTACTCTGGCTTTGAAATCAATGAATGATCTAAACCCATGTTATCCATGGACAGAGCAGGAGCTAAAAGTATTATTTCTCTGGTACAGCCCACTTCGCCAACTGCTAACAGTTGAGCACTGCTTTAGTGGAATAGAAAAGAGCCTATTTTGCTGTAGTGGGCAGTACTGGCGAAATAGTGCCTTTTCTATTCCACTAAAGCAGTGCTTAATTGCTTGCGGTCGGCTTGGTGGGCAGTACTAGCAAAATAATACCTTAAGCTGCATGTTTCCTTCTAGATCATGACCATCACTCAGTTTTTTTCCAATTATATAAAATGGCTATTGTGTGAATAGGCTTCTAAATAAGTTGTTTTAACTTCCTCCATATTCTTATAGAAGTGTTTATTTAATTTACTTTCAGATTACTCAAGCTGTAGTTATCATGTTAATAAAATAAAAATATATATAAATATTTAACTAGAAGTCCTCCGTTAAATGGATCTCTCCAATTTTGTAACAGATTGTAAAAAATACATTTTTCAACACTGCAAAGGGTTCTAAATTTGTATACTTCATGGCCAGAAAATTTAAAAACTATCAATTTTGGAAAGGTATTGGTCCATTTGGAGGGGTATCCATTACTGATAGATGTTATATAAGAGAGGTTTCATTTTATGTAGGTATATATTTTGTTTCAAGAGTATAATAATATAAAGAAAGATAATCTAAATACAGAGACACTAACTAAACTAACTTTAACTTTACCTCAGCAAATAATGTTTCCATGACTGGGCAAACATAGGTGGTATTATGTATACCGAGCTTGTTGAAGTGATTCCAGAGGTCTAAGTCGAATCGTTTTACAACATATTCTATATAACTTGTGATATCTTGTGATACAAGTGGAAATTCATTGAACCACATTTGGCAGTAATTGACTAGAAAAATAGAATATGTTAAAGTTAAAGAGATTATTTAAATTCTGTATAATAACACTTACATATAATTTAATCATTTGTCCCATTGAATGGAATTCATTGATTAAGACACTTTTACAATAAACGTTATAGGTTAGTAGAAAAAATAAAAATATAAAACAAAATTATGTATAAAATAATGGATTCGATAAATGTGAACTTTGTTATTTCATTACAGAATTAAATGAATAAATTTAACGAACCAAGTAATTCTTATTACAGATCTAAATGAAAATAACAGGTGATTAATCAAAGAGAGCAGAATAAATAGAACCGTAAGGCTTTGTTTTTGGAATATTTCAATAATGTTCTAAAAAGAGTTTTATGGCATTACACATGCCAGTCAGTATATGCCAATTTTTTATGCCACTATTTGTATGATAGGTGTCTTTTCAAAGCAGTTATATAATGATTCAGAATAACGCTAGTTCACCCATGAATATTCATCATTATCATATCCTGTAAGAGAAAGTATATTGAACATTTTGGTGCAAGTAGTGAAAATAAAATCTAAATTTTATAAAATAACTAGAAGAGATATTTATTATTTTTTCAGATAATAGTATTTATTTATTCATTTTTTAAAAATTTCTATTCATATTTACCAGCCTGCTCAACATCTGTTTATCTTGGGTAATTTTTTCCCAACTAGCTAAACTTAACTCTATGATATCTTCTTATATCATTTAGTCTGCATATTTAGTCTTTGTCTCTTGCTCCTGTTTGTCTGATATTGATAGTTGTTTATAGGAGATTCATCTTTACCTCCTCTCCTTCATCTTATAATTACTGACTGATAAGGTTATTTATTTTATTAATTTGTGTTTATCTTTCAATTCTATATTTAGCCTCTGATGAAGAGCTGGGGTAATAATGATATAAATTTAATCATTTGTCAAAGATAATGCTAAGAATATTACACTGCCTTTAAAAATATTGAAACCACTAAATTAAATATTTACCTAATATAGTGGCTACAACTTCAAATGCCACCATTGGGGAAGACTTGAACAATTTAGAAAATCTTAAAATCATTAGTGGAAGACAATTGTTATGTTGAAATACAGGACACCAGAAGGCTAAGTTGGAAGCCAATCTGAAATATTAATTAACGATTTTAATTTTTAAATACAAAATCAAAGTGAATTATAACTATTTTAAAAAACCGAAAATGCTAAATTAAATTACTAAAATGTTAATCATATTGAAGAAGTGGTAAAAAGTTACTAGTACATACTACTGAAAAAGAAAAACTCAAAGTTTAGATATTTGAGGATATACATAGATATTCTCCAGTTGGGGATCTAGTATTGAATTATAGTATAAAACTGTAATCGAAACATATTTAGCTATAAAAATAACATTTAAAAACATAATTGAAACTGAAAAAGGCTACTCATGTAATTTTTTATAAGTATACATAAAATACAAACAATAATCTTTTTGATGGTTGAGAAATTATTTACCAGCAGTCATGTATATTTAATTTTCTTTAATAACCTTGTTAAAACGTCAAGGAGATGGTAGGCAGATAGAAAGGAGGGAGAAAGCTTGAGAAGGATAATCAGGGGTCACTACAATTTTTAAAATGACTAAAGAAGTTACTTCCATTTGTTTGTCCAATAGAGTTTGTAAAGATTGTATTACAGAATCAGTATGGAAATTTCCCATGAAATGTTTTTTATTATCAAAACATTACTTATATTATTCTAAGAAAAATTAATCCTTAATGCCAACATTTGCATGATAGGTATTTTTTCAAACCATTTGTACAACACCTCATAACAAACCTAGTTTTTCCATGGGTATGCATCACGGTCATATCATGATGAGGAATTATATTAAATATTTCAGCACATAAACTTTGCGATAACAAAAATATAGATTTTTTAGAATAATTGGAAGAGTTATTTATAATTTTTCCGATAATAGTGTTTATCCATTTTTTTTTAAAGTTCTATCAACTTGGTCACTTAATTCTATTGGTCAATGTCTCTTAATATTATGTAATTTTTGCCAACTTTCAGAATTTAACTCTTGTAACCGAATAATTTTAGAGGAAGGAGGTTATATTACAATTTTTAAAGATTGCAGGAGCAGTATGGAAAATTTCAATGAAATGTGTTTAATTGGCTAAATATTACAACCTAAATATTATACAAATATTACCTAAATATTACTACCTTCGTGAACAAATGAAGGCTTCTCAAGAAGGAGTGTCCTTAGAATTAGAAATCTATCTCATGAAAATTTAGAGATTTTTTACAAGAATCAATTAAGAATCATCCATATAGATCCGACCTAACATAACTACTAAAAAATAAATTCTATTAATTTGTTTTTAATAGTTGGTGATAGGTATTACATTTAACAGAATTTGAATGAGTATTTTTCTCTCCCTAAACAGTCTTCAATATCTTCACAAATGATTTATAATTTTACCTTCACTGTTGTGGTAGCATATGTTTTTAATATAATATCTTCCAAGGTATACACTCTTGGGTCATTCTTGTTATATGGCTAGTCCACCAATGCCATCCAAACATGATTAATCTTACAATGTCAAGACTCTGTTGGTTTGTATCCTCCTTACTCTAATTTTATGCAAGGGACCAAATATTTTCCTTAATTTGAACAGTTTAGGTTGAAGTCATTCTACAGTTAATATCACTATTAAAATTGATCTTTTTCATTGAATATAAATACATGTTAAATTGAGATAATGACAAAGATATGAACTACAAGATTCCACAAAAGTAATAGTTTAATAAATATGTTTAGAAAAAAAAGAATAAAATAACATAGCATTACTTTTGACTTCAAGCTTTGTTAATGAATATAAAGTGATTGAATAGTAAAACATAACAAAGAATAATGGCTTTATGAATATACCTACCTTAAAACTGGAAAACGAAGGTCAATTGGAAGAAAATGGTATTCCAAAACACTTGTGAAGGCACTGTGAAATCCTTTTTTACATAGATCTCTGTAAGCAGTTGTATTCATGGGTAATGATAAAATTTTTCTCCACATATAAGGTCTTAGATCAATTGGGAACTGGCCTAAACTGGATAGTGTATTGATAATATCCTTCTTCTTCATTTGAAAATACTGAAAAAATTACAATCATAAGAAATAATTAAGATAAAAGACTAAGGAGATTGACCACAATATATTTTCTCTTTACAATACACAATAATAGAATCAAGAGGTAGTTTTCTTAATTACAAAATGCACCATTTTCAAACTTTGAAAATGTTTTGCAACTGTAAGAAAGTTTTTAAAATATATTAGCCCTTATTTTAATTTTTCTGAGTCATATAATGCTTCTATTTGAATCATTTTTGTAAGATTTAAAAAAAAAATGTCTGGTAAGTGGACCTTTAGGTCCTTTTTGCAAACCCTTGATGGCTACCTTGAGGTTCAGGCCACCTACTTAATAGTGTGTCAAGATTCATTTCTGGGGCGCGCTGAGAAATAAATACTGACCGACCCAGGTCCTATATAAATAAATATAAATATAAAAAATAAAATAAATATCAAACCTAAAATGCTTAAAACTGGACACTCTGGGACACACGCTCCTACATGCTCGATCATCACTCCGATTTTTGAACTGTAAATCACACTTATTAAACAGGAAAAAATATCATTTTAATTTCATATAGAATTCATGAGTATTTGTAATAGCGGAGAGAATTAAAACACACTGCAATGATATAGAAAATGGTATATATTCATTTCAGAAATGCTAATATGACTATTTAATTCATATTCTTCGCTGATTTCAATATTTCAAATTCTTTCTGAAGTGGATTGAAACTTCTCTTTCTTGATTGTTTACCTTCACTAAGGCCATCTCTTTTCATTATAAAAAAAGTAGTCAGCCATAATCTTTGTATTCTACCTTTCCTTGTGTCTCTTTTTTATGCACTTGATTTACTTGTAGAAACATTCTCCTAGTTATTCACTGATATAGCTAAGGTTTGTAGAGGAAAAGTCATTATATTAATCAAGGAGAAGCTTTACATTCATGTTGCATCCTGATTTCATGAAAGTCTACAACATTATTCTAACCAGTTTTCTACTTTGTGTGTTAGTTTTTGCTTAAAAAGTTTACTACTTATTCTTAAAATGAAACCCAAGCTATTTTTTCCATTAGGTTCATTGTAATTTTTAAAACATATATTACTTATGGCCACTCAAAGATCTTTCTTAAAGTTTCTTATAAGATACTTTGAGACATTTTGTGGGCAAGTACTGGAAGCCTGATTTGCAAGGAAAGTAATATTGTACAAGTAATATTGTACAACACTCTTAGTATTTTACTAGGTTGAACAGGTGATATCATGGGCATATAAAGATGGGAGTAAAGTGGAGTAGCAGCTCCCCTCCCTTCCAACATGTAAAAAATTAATATAAAGTAACAATAAAAAAAACAACAAATTTCTAATAAAAAATTTGGCAGCAACAGGTTAGTTATTATTATTTTAACATTCTGAAGGAAACTAATTCTGAATAACATTTGAGCTATTCAAACAATTTTTGGAACTCATTTTTAAAGAAACCAAAAATGAGAGCAAATTAAGAAGCTGCACAAATAGAACTTTATAGAACTGACTTGCTTCTCTACAGACAACTTTCAAGAACTTGAAACTACAGCCTAACCAGTCTTAGCTGCTTTTTGAACAACTGTATATATATAAACTGTATTTGTATAGAATAACACTGAATCAATCACAGATGATTGCTTTAACTCAACTGTCCCTTAAGGCATTTTCTCGAATGCAGTAAGAGGTCCGTCAAAGGATTTTTCATGTCAATAATAATACTTATCATAATTTACTATGGATCTAAAGATTTTTCTATCTTTGAGATCAGAGGATGTAGAAGAATTTCACAGGATCCACGTGCTATAATTAACTCCATTTGTATTGTTTTTTTATATGATTTCATGAGATTCCATCAGTAGCAATTATCAATGCCCTTTTGCTCGGTGTATAGCAAAGGATATCCTCGTAATCCTTTCACATATCCTTGCATACCCATCTTCCACTTTTTCCTTCACTTAATAAATTTAACATATTAAATAAAAAATATTGTGAAATATTACATCACAATGAAGCATTGAGCATTTTATACATGATAAGATTAAAAGTTGTAGAAGAATAATTTTTTAGGACCATTATCCAAATTAATATAAAAGTTGGCTAAATACCTTATTGTAAGAGTCATGCACTTTGTGGTAAGACTCTTCTAAAAAATCTTGTTTAGATTTAACAATATCTTGATCATTCCATAATTCATTATAAAAAATACAAATACTTCCTGTGCCCATTAAACAAAACAAATACTTGCCTGATATGTTTATTCCTAGACTAGCTGTAATGAGAATGTAAATAAATGATTATAATAATAACTAAATCAATTTAAATGGTTAAATAACTTGAAATTCTCCTCACCACAATAATCGTGATCCATTGCTCCAACAGTTAAGATAGTACCTCTGATCAAGTCAAACAACACTATATCACAGTGATAGGTTAAGAAAGCAACCATCTAAACAAATCAAGTTTCACATCTTGTTAAATAATGGCTATCATACCCACCAAAAATGTATATATCTACACACACATGGATATAATAAAGGTAAATTAAAAAAATTCAAACACAAATCTTGAGTCTCTAAAATACAGGTAAAACACTAACCCGTCAACATTTTACCAATTCTGCATTTTAACTTAGAAAGAATTATTGAAAGATTTGAGTAGAAAATCCTCCAAAAGATAACTGTGGGTCATTATGGGATCAGAGTACTGATATGGGATATTTTCCATTGAAAGCTTTTTTCATTAAATGTACATTATAAAATTTACAAAACTCTCTATAATCTACAAGAATTCTTACATATATTTTAAATAAAAACAAAACTTACAGTGCTTTCACCATTATCATAAGGATGAGATATAAATTCAATGAATTTCAATTTATTGTAG